ATGCCATTTTTAATAAGGTCTTACTTGAACATGATATAAAAGGTTTCGATTACAATTTTGTTGCGTTGTAAAGTAATGTAACAATGATAGAATATTTTTTTTTAATTTCCCACAAAAGTAAAATTTGGACTATGGCTGTTTTTGTAGGAAGTGCCACAATTGAAAATGCAAGTTATTTTGGTGTAACAAAATCATTTAGATTAAAAGGATATATCAGCAAAGTAATTAACAATATACCATGATTAAATTTTTGTAATAATTTTTTTTCTTTATTTTGGCATTAGAAATTCTGCAAGAATCTCACTTGGTAATTATTGTAGGAAAAATGTTACTCTGTTTTTTTTTATTTTGACGAAGGAATCAGTCTTGAAAGTTAGTTGCGTTATTCTGACACCATATACAGGGCGTTTTCAAAATTGTGATATATATTTTTTAATAAGATGCAGAACTTTTAAAAACAGGTAATATCACCAAAAATCATTGCTGGTTCGTCTTACATTGTAAGGATTTTCTACTGCCAAAGTATAGTCTGCAAATTTCACCGACAACGTTTCACGACGATAAATAAATAAGATCTACGAAAAAAGTTAAATAAAAAATTTTTGGTTTTTAAGTTAATAAAACTAATTTAATTAATAACTTCATAACCCTTTTACCAATAAAATTTGGCAACTTATTTGGACTATTATGGCATATTATTTCTTAAAGCTTTAGTCAAATCGATATACTGGGTGGTAGTTTTCTCCGGTTACATCTCTCTTTTAGCGGTCAAAACTTTTACAATGGTCATATTTTTTTTAAACAGTCAGCAACATTGAAAAGGTCATTTTATTTTAACAAAAAATTGTCTCTTGAGAAGATCGCTTACAGAAAACCATTCCTGAGAAAAATGACATTTGCAGGTCTGTATGTTTAGATTTAAATAACAGTGTCACGGAAAACTTTGAGTTCAGTAGGTGATGAAAACAAAATGTTGATCGCTGTGGCTATCAGATAATGTTATTCTCGTGTTTCTTTAGGATTCTCATCACCACACCTGCAAATTATGAAAATTTACGACTACGTTCCTTGTAACACAATATTTATCTGCAAAAAACAGTTTTCGAAGCAAATTATTATCTTCTGCAAAGCCATTCACCATCCAGCGGCAAAATTGTAAACGTGCGTTGGGATCTAAATTTTCAAGTTCTTGAGAAGTTAAATGAAATGGCTGAAGAAGTTGTTGTTTTATAGTTCTGTGAATATTAGTTTTACATACATTTAATTGCTTTGATACACTGGGGACACTTCTTGGCTCATTTTCAATAACATTAAGAATTTGTTCTATTTCAGGTGGCAACTGACGAGGACAATTGGTCTTTACAGTATATTTTTTAAAACAGTCGTAGTCTTGTAATCTTCTGTTAATCGAAGTGAACATAGTATGTTGAGGTGTTTGATGATTCGGGAATTTTTCATTGTACAATAGTGCAGCAGCTCAATAGTTTATCTTGCACCGTCCTAATATTACTCGTAAATGCAAATCGGCAAGCTCATTGAATGGATATTCCATGTTAAGTAAAACGATGTTAATAAAAAACTTCCTACTCAATAAACTAATGGAGCGAATTAAAAAATCTAGCCAAATCAATTAATATTAAAATAAAAGTAGAACAACAATACGCTGCGACTTAGTGCAAATGACAATAATAAATGTCAATGATAGCTACAGCAACAAACATTTTGTTTTCATCATCTACTGAAGTTTTAAATCCATGACATTGTTACGCAAACCGAAATATACAGACCTGCAAATAATGCCATTTTTGTCAAGAATGGTTTTCTTTAGGCGATTTTCTCAAGAAACAATTTTTTTTTAAATAACACTACCTTTTCAATGTTGCTACCTGTTTAAAAAGATATGACCTTGTAAAAGTTTTGACCGGTAAAATAGGGAGAAAACCGGAGAAAACTACCACCCAGTATATCGATTTGACTAAATTTTTAAGAAATAATACGCCATGATAGTCCAAATAAATGTGCCAAATTTTAAAGCGATCAATAAAAGGATTAATTAAATAAGTTATTAATTAAATTAATTTTATTTTTGACAACAAAAATCTTTTATTGTAACTTTTTTCACAGATCATATTTATTTATCGTTGTGAAGCTTGCAAACAAGCTGTATAGTCTACAGCCAAAACAAATCTTACAAAATTTTAAAGCTAATGTAGAAGCAACAGAGATTATAGCATTATACCCTTTGATAACAATATGGATAAAATTGTTTCTGTCTTATTGTATTCCACTGTGGGCTACTCCAACTTGATTTACTATTTACCTAGTTTCCAGATCGTTACCAACATTTTCTAGAATTTCTTCCTCAATTTCAGTTACCTATTTTATATATTTCAGACTTTCCAATAAGTCCTTTTTGTTTTGCTAAATATCTAAATATCCCGTATCAAGATACTTTCAAATTAACAAACATTCATGGTGACAGATGATTTCGTAACAGAATACACAAAATTATAATTGACATGCTGCAGCTGCACTTGGTAGGCACTCCCTATAAATTGGAAGCATATCTACAAGTTCATTGTTTTGTAAACGTGTCCCTTAGTTTAAAAAACAGATTACAAAATACCAAAGTCAAGAAAACACGATTTGTTGTATGTATTTAATGCTCACACTGACTTTTCTTAGTAAATTTGCATATGTGCATGCTGGAGTAGTGAATACATACAATCATCACAACATAAGCCAAAAACAAGAAACCAGACTTAAATTTTACAAAATTATTTCATATTGATATCGTTATACAGGGTGTTAGTAAATAAGTGCAACAAATTTCAGGGGGTGATTCTACATGAGAAAATAATGGCAGTTTGCTTATAAACGTATGTCCGCAAATGATTCGTTTTCCGAGATACGGGGCGTCAAAGTTTTTCTTAAAAACTGACGATTTAATTTATTGCTCTGAAACCGGTCGAGATGTGCAAATGAAATTTGTTGGATTTTAAGAGGTAATTATTCACATTTTTTGACGTGCAATTAAGAATTTTATGTTCATCATTGGCGCGTGTACGGGTAATAATCTCAATTTTTTTAAAGAAAAAAATGGTACGCTACTGAAATATTACAAATTAAAAATCATTTTTGAATTCCTCATTCAATTTGTGACAAAAAATCTCTCTTGCCTTTTCTTCGTATGGGGCGCCGTTTTGATACAAAAAAATAAAACATCTTAACGCATATTTTTTATTTCTTTAATATATTACCTAGTAGGCTACTGTCAACATTTGTCTGTTGAATACGAATATTTTTAAGAAATGTCAAATTAGCATTTCGTCATTATTAATTTATTAAGCTTTTGGTTTGCTATAACATTAGTGTTAATAAGTAATTAATTTTTCTTTTATCGAAAAGAATGGAAAATTTTACAAATGCGGAATTGTCAGACATGCATTTTGTCTATGGTCGAAGTAATGGAAATGGTCGGCAAGCTCGACGATTGTATGCCGAGTTGTGTCCAGGACGTAGGGTACCTCGTCACACAATATTTGCTCGTCTTTATCAACGTTTGCGCGAAAATGGTTCATTTAAGAAGCAAACGGTTGAATGTGGACGCCCTCAAGAAGTACGAACTGTGCAACTAGAAGAAGCAGTTCTCGAGTTAATTGCGGAGTCACCTGAAACAAGTACTCGAAAAATTGCCAACATATTGAATGTAAGCAACTTCACTATATTTAAAATTCTTAAAGAAAAGCATTTGTGTCCGTTTCATATTGAACGTGTGCAAGCTCTACTACCTAGAGACTTTTTTTCCACACCTATTTTTTTGCCAATGGATTCATCATCAAATCGCTCAAATTCCTAATTTTTTAAATGACGTTTTGTTTACTGACGAGGCTACTTTTGGACGACAGTGTATACGAAATTTCCATAACAATCACTTATGGGGTGAGGAAAACCCCCCATGGAATCTTTGAAGCTCATTTTCAGCATCAATTTTCCGTAAATATATAGCTTGGAGTAATTGATGATCATTTAATCGGTCCATATTTCCTCCCACAACGACTAACAGGTGAATCTTATCTTAATTCCTACAGGAAGAGTTACCTGTTCTTCTTGAAGAAATTCCTGTACAGCTGAGACTGCTAGGGAGGTACGGAACTGTACTAGACAAAATGCATGTCTGACAATTCCGCATTTGTAAAATTGTCCATTCTTTTCGATAAAAGAAAAATTAATTACTTATTAACACTAATGTTATACCAAACTAAAAGCTTAATAAATTAATAATGACGAAATGCTAATTTGACATTTCTTAAAAATATTCGTATTCAACAGACAAATGTTGACAGTAGCCTACTAGGTAATATATTAAAGAAATAAAAAATATGCGTTAAGATGTTTTATTTTTTTGTATCAAAACGGCGCCCCATACGAAGAAAAGGCAAGAGAGATTTTTTGTCACAAATTGAATGAGGAATTCAAAAATGATTTTTAATTTGTAATATCTCAGTAGCGTACCATTTTTTTCTTTAAAAAAATTGAGATTATTACCCGTACACGCGCCAATGATGAACATAAAATTCTTAATTGCACGTCAAAAAATGTGAATAACTACCTCTTAAAACCCAACAAATTTCATTTGCACATCTCGACCGGTTTCAGAGCAATAAATTAAATCGTCAGTTTTTAAGAAAAACTTTGACGCCCCGTATCTCGGAAAACGAATCATTTGCGGACATACGTTTATAAGCAAACTGCCATTATTTTCTCATGTAGAATCACCCCCTGAAATTTGTCGCACTTATTTACTAACACCCTGTATATGTACTTAGGTAACTTTTGATAAATTACCAATTTTTATGACTTCTACGTCCTTGTTAAAAAAAATTGACTCAAGTTTGGAAACACCCTGTAAAATTGTGTTTTCTTAACAATTTACTGTATTCAGACATAATAATGACACTTTCTTTGTATCTTTACATTTAAAGTAAAATATATTTTAGGTCGACAAGCCCCAGAGGTGCTGGATACCTTTTTGGAGCAAAAGTTACTCATGACTTTATAAGAATAAATGCTTTAACCCTAATTTGCAGAGCACATCAATTAGTACATGAAGGTAACTATATTTTTATTTGCTAAAGGAAATGGTAAACATATTAAGTGTTTTCTAAGTTCGTGTCATAAATTCTAGAGATTATTATATTAAAATCAAATTATACAGTTTACGGTCTTGTGATTTTATTTTCAAGGGGTGATTAAATATCTTAAAAGAAGGTCATTGTTGCGAAGAAAAATGGACTATATATTGCATAACTTTTCTTTGCGGAAATTTTAAGTGAGTAAATTATGGAGATAAAATATAACAATGAGGCAATTTGTATAGCAACTTACCCCAATCTCCATTGCTTCTTCCAAGAGAGGCGCCTCTCAGATATATGGTACCCAGCGAATGCAAACACGTGGAGAACACAGCAAACGTTGTAAAATGGTTAAGATGAGTATTTTCACAACGAAACGTAAAATTGTTAATATTCGTATTTTCTTTAATTTATGGCGAAAAGCGAGCGATTATCGTACACCAATACACCCATGGTTTCTCTCGAAGGCTCGGGTATAAAGGTATGTCGCCCAGAACTATCTCATTGATACAACAAAAAAAGAACAAAAAATAAATGCGGTTTTCAGTGTTTAAGATTACTAGAAATGTTTATATTAAGCGGTAATTATTATAACAAGGAATTATTTAAATTAAAATATTTAATTAGACAAAAAATTAAAAAAACAAGAATTAATAAATAAGGACGTAACATTTCGGCCCACCAAAATGCTTATGCATTTTCAGAGAGAATAATTGGTAAAGGACTCAATTTGGTTAGTGGTTATGGAGGGGCATTATCGAATCAGTACAAGTGATTCGATTTCTGGTCGATCGGTAGAATTTAACCATTTGCTTCTCTGTTGCAAGATATGTAAATATTCCTTCTGCCAGCGACTCCAAAGATCTTAATGAATTCTTCGAAACAGCTGCCAGCGAGTTAAGCGATTTAAATTTTCATCGTGCAGATCGACATCGGAAATGACAGTGAGCGGCTGCAAAGTAAGGAAGTGGCCAGGCTTTAACGCAGAAAAATAATTCGGATCAAACTAACAGGTGTTAATGGACGCGAATTAAAAATTGATTGTATTTGGCAAAGTATAATATTCAATTCTTCGTAAGTTGACACTTGACTGCCAATTACACGAAGCAAATGACTCTTCATACTTCAGCCAGCTTCCCAAAGAGTGAGTTAAATGCAAAAGCTCTTTATTAGCTTTGACGAAACAAGTGCCGATATCACTATATAAATTACTAACACGGCCGCGAGGTGCAACAAACCTGCGTAAAGCTGTCAAAAAACAATCGGCGGTTAAATCTGACACTAATTCAAGATGAATAGCTTTCATGGTCATACAAATAAATAAACAAATATAGGCTTTGTGGGTTTTTGAACCACGAGATTTAATAAGAGTTATGAAAAAAGGACCTGCGTAGTCCACACCAGAGTGTAAAAAGGCTTTACTTGGTGTAATACGAGCGGCGCGGCAGGGAAATTTCCCATGATAGGTTGGTAAATTTTAGGATGAACTCTGGAACAAGGAATTATTTAAATTAAAATATTTAATTAGGGAAAAAATAAAAAACTAGAATTAATAAGGACGAACAAATATCTTGACAAAAGTAGCATAATAAGAGATGTTACTGTTAAAAAATTTTTTTAGATTTTAATTTTCTAGTTTTAAGGAGTGATTAAGCATAGTAAATAAAACAATTTCCTTATTTGTTATTTATTAACAAAAGTTGCATAATGAGAGATATTAGGTACTGTTAAAAAATATTTTTTATTTTTAGGGGGGTGATAAGCATATTAAATTAAACAATTTTTTTATTTTTTCATGGAATCCAGTTTACAGTAGTTGATCAAAGTTATTGCCATGTTGTTGAACACAAAGTCTCGCTCAACATATCCATGAATTGGCATAATTTACTAGGCTTGGTCTTACCGTCAAATTATCGTAGCAGCTGCCTCAACAAGGTTATGAAGATTATCTAAATCCATTATTTCGGCGGTGCATATCAAGGTCTTCATAACGCCCTATAAATAGAAATCAAGGTGGTTAAGGTCGAGTGACCAAGGAGGCCATGGAACAGGACCACCTCGACCAATCTATTATTTTCGAACACACTATCTAAATGCTGGCGAACTAAGCGATTAAAATGCGGCAGTGCGCCATCTTGGAGAAACCACATTTGTCGACGTACATTCAAAGGAACTTCTCCCAATAGTTTTATCAACGGATTTTGCAAAAAAAGATAATCATTTCCAGTCAATCGATTTGGAAACACAAATTTTAACAGTAATATCTCTTATGCAACTTTTGTTAAGACATTTTAAGGTTAATGGCCTTCTTTTAAGATGTTTAGTCGCCCCTTGAAAATAAAATCACAAGACTGTAAACACCCTGTATATATGAGGGATGTGCTGAAAGGTCATGTCAAAAATATTAATAAAATAAAACAAGGGGTATACAGGGAAGGTCAATATAGTTGTCGTACTTCATAAAAAGAAATTTCCTATCTGGCTTCATTGTGGAGTTATTCGCCTTCAAAGAAAGAAGTTGAAAAACAAATTCCAATTATAACTTCTAAGTCGTTACCATGACAATAATGAAATTTGGACAATTAAGGTAACTCATGGTAATGTTCATTTCTAAGTTTAAACTGATTTCAATATACCTGGATTATACAGGAGCGGATAAAATTATCCATTTAAATTTATACATCTTTGACAGCTTTCATAGTTCGATTCCTCTCTCACCTTACTAAAAAAAGGTATACTGTATATCAGTCTATATCTTGTACCGATTTTGAGAAAATCGAATTGTATTACAAGATACATTTATTGTAACAAAAATGCACTGTTGTCTGAGATCACACTAGCTTGTCCAGCGGTGGGGTAAGAAAATTATTAAAAAAGATTTTAAAAACGTTTTCACAACGGAATTTGAAAAAATAAACTATTGATACGTGTTCCTAAAAGTCAAAAGTAGCCTCTGTGTAAATATGCAAGCTATTCTGCGACACTTCCAAGTCGATGGCATAATGAATATCTCAATATACTATTAGTCCATTGAAATGTTACATTTTTTTGGGCTTAGCGTGCAAAAATCAGAGCACGCAATTTTATTTTTTAGATGTCAAGAGGGGGTTAGTGTAAAGTTAAATCCATGTTTGTGGGCAAATGTTGCAATCTTTGTGCATCAGCCGCCATCTTGTAAAAAGGGCTGCGAATGGTTTTTATACTACTACTTACTATATAGGCTATATTCGTTGCACAGAAAATTTGTAAATATATTTTTTGTTGCAAATTAAATTCTCTACAAATTTTGTTCCATAACTTTCAGTCGTAGAACCTAAAATAACAGTTATTAACAAAAATATATAAGAATTTGGGAACAAATTTTCTTTTGGTCGTTGGGTTTTCAAGGAATAATTTCCATTACAAACTTTTCAAATTTGATTTATTTATTAGGGTTTTACAGCGATGCGAAACTTACACTATTCTCCAGTACTAGTAAGTATACATTAATATGAATGATTAGGCATAGTTTTCTCTCATCTTTCCATTATTTTTATAAGAAACATTTTAATGATTGACATTGCAATGTTGTTAATTAGTTATTGTCTCTTTTCCCCACCCCCTACGAGGTAGAGTCTGGTGGTGCATTTTTTTTTTACGTCGTATCCCTAGTAGGCAGAATCCACGGACATTTTCTAGCTGACATTATAATTAGTGTAATTAAAAATATCGAAATATATTTCCCAATCTACTGTGTCCTCAGTCTCTTTGATGGGCCAGGCTGCGACTCTGGATCTGGTTGAGCTTCCGATATTGAATTGAAGGATGGAGAATGAAGTGGTGTCATTGTTGGCAGTTCATCTTCAAAATCATTCTCCTCGATCAATTTTGATACCGCCATTATGTTGCTGCATATCTCCCCAGAACAATTCAGGCACACTGTAAAACATTGCCTTCCGACATCCACACATTACCCCACAATTTCCTTTGCATCGGCAGAATATCAACTTTAGAAGATCACGGGGTGCTGGAGGTTTTGAACTTTGAACGGGCATCAATATTTGTCCATACTTTTTCCAGACTCAGTCTTGAGGGCCGTTGTAATTCCCGAGCCATGACTGGACCTCGGAGGCTGTGCAAGCGGGCTGTGTCTTGTGTTGGAGGAAGTGAAGACAAATTAAATGTATTCTTTTTCACCGACTTGGCGAATCGTTTATATCTAAGACTGTCAAGAGAATCAACATCTTTATTGCCGCCATATAAAGAGATGAAAAAATGTTCGCCAACGGCAGTGAGCAAAATACGCCATTCCACTAGCTAACTCAGGACGTGTCTCCAGGGTTGTGAGAAATTTCATTTTACCGATGTTGTAAGCTGCTGAAGTCATATCACATCCTGAGAAGGCATGGAAAAACAACAGATTATCCACACTGACGTCTCCGTGCATAAAACTTGACGGACAATATAATTATTCTGTGTACGTCCTTTTGATGGTTTAAAAAAAAATGCATTTGAATGTGTTCTTCCAAATGCCATGAGCAAGACAAGAATGTCGATATCTTCGGCGACAATAGTGACTGAGTTGAACGATTGGGATGCAGCAAGAGCGGAGTGAACGATGATGGTATCTGCATCTGATTTTGCTTGGTCGACAATGAAACCCACCTCTTGTCCACAAAATTCCAAATAGTGTCTACAAAACTCAAAATACTTTTCACAATTAAATACGTCACGCACGCACGTGGTAGCACAACTGGAAGAAAACTTTGAAGGACACCCCCCATGCCTAATTATTCTTATTAATGTATACTTACTAGTACTGGAGAATAGTGTAAGTTACGCATCACTGTAAAACCTTAATAAATAAATCAAACTTGAAAAAAGTTTGTAATGGAAATTATTCCTTGAAAACCCCTCTATCAAAATGCTCTGATGCAATTTTTTTGTAAAATGACCAGAAAAAAAGTTATAACGACCAAAAGAAAATTTGTTCCCAAAT